ATTGCTGCCTTTCCTGGGCACCACAGGACTTCTGGGTAGAGACTATAAGGACACATTCATGTTTAATTATTATGAAAATGTCACGTAAAGAATGAGAAGGGAGTTAAATCACTGTACAAAGATTTAAACTGGAAGCTGGTAAGGTTTTAATAACACTCTGCATATGAATTATGCTTCCAATAACACATAAATGTATTATGAAGCTTTAGCCGGTATAAAGCAGTTTCTTACGGCTTAATGTATTTGAAAAGAGAATGGCTTTACTTTGTGGTAACAGAAATACCAATTATGAATCAAACTTGCAGTTTAATTCACTTAATTATAGCTGCAGTTAAGGCAAAAGCCATGTTTAAATACTTTTTCTTCAGTCTGTGAAAGTGGAGAGACAATATTCATTTCCTCACCTTTACTGGCGCACAGTAATGAACCCCCAGCCATTCGCAGCACTGCCATGTGCCCTCTTGGCAGCCTCTCGTTTTAGCTGGACTCGGGCCGCACTGCCAGGCACCCCCTACCTCTGCCCCCTGACACCCAGAAACGGTGGTTCGTTCATCACCAGCTGTTGGAGAACAGCTCGCAGAGAGCAAGGCCATGGGTCTCTGCAGAAGCTGGTTGCAGCCATCTGAGGTAAACAAAGGAAAAAACCCAGGGTGCAGTTATGCTAACAAAGGACTGTTATGTTAACAAAGAGAGAAACTGAGGTGCATTATGGCCTTGTGTATGATAAAGGAACAGCCCTGGGAGAAAAACAGGTTCAGAAGAGGGAAGATGTTGTGACATGCCTGAGATGCCACAAGGGGCGGGGATATCATAATGTAGCCTTTTACATGTATCCAGCAGATTTGTGAGTAGTATGCATGATTATTGTAGAGTGCTTATATAAGGTGTGATTTCTTTCAATAAAGTTGAAGCTTGCTCTATCATTCACGTTGAATCGGCTGCTTGCTTCCTCCGCCCGCCGCAACTGACCATTTCCTTTTTGCCCTACTCCAGAACCCCGCGCCTTACCTCTGTGTCCCAGGATATCCAGCCACGCAAACGTTACAAGCATCTACTGGAGAGGGTAGAGAGGCAATTTTGAAGGAAGCTAACGGACTTGATACTTGGTGTATCAGGTGCCCGTGCCCAGGTTGGCGGGAGTCTTCGTGAGGAGAACTCAGGGCTGTCCCATACCTGACACAGGTGGTTCCAAGCGCTTCCAGATAGTTCCATGGCAGCCCTGCCACAGGGCACAGCTGGGCCCATCACCAACACTGGTGCAGCCTCTGTGGTAACAGGTTTAAGAAGGGGGAAAACTGTATGGCTGTGAGAAGTAAGGTAAAAAAAGTGTGAAAAATGAACCCTGCGAGCACCCAGGTCAGAGAGTGAGGAGGAGCTCCAGGTGCCCAAGCACAGATTCCCTGTAGCCCCTGGAAAGACCACAGTGGAGCAGATTTGTTTCCTGAAGAACTGCAGCCTGTGGAGAACACCTGCACTGGGGCAGGGGAAAAGCATGAGCTGTATAGATTGTGTAAGCTGAGAACAGCACATACACTGGCTCCGTCACAAGACATGTGAAATGTCCCTGAAGAAATACAACCTGCTAAGACCACCTTGCCTCAGCAGGTGAAAGCAGCAGCATTACCAACATCTTGAAGATGGCTTGTGGCAGCATAATGTAAAAAGTTGCTTGCTCTTCAGATTCTTCTTAATTTTACTTACTAGTAAGGAGAAGATGTGCAGCTCCCTTCTTCCGGTACAGTCACTGCAACAAAAAAATTTTAAACCCCTCTCCATGTTGGTGTACTAGGTTCTAGCTACAGGCTAATGTCCTTCTGCAAGAAAAATTAAGATGGTAAGGAATATTTGGAAGAATGGATTTTTATTGTATTACAAGATTTTTTTACCTCATGTACGCAGAAGCATTATTCTGTTAAAAGAAGGCTTCATCACAATCCTCTCTGCAGGGGAGCCATGACAGAACCTGACAGCTCAGATTTGTCCTGTCTGCTCCTTTTAGGATTGAAATAGCAGTCCTCAGCCTCAGCCCCCATCCCTACATCTGCTTTAGCTGGAAGTGAACAAGAACATCCAAAATTTACAGCCTCCCTTTGGCCTCAGGACAGCTGCCAGCCCTTCAGAAGCCACTGCTATTCTGTTCCCACTGCTCCACCTCTGAGAAGGCAACCACAATATTTCATGTACATTTAATACTAACATGAAATATTAATTACCTGTTACAGCTTTAAGTTCTGTTTAGTGTTCTATCTCAAACCTCAAATTGGCACCAGAAACAACCCTGTACAGCTGTAAAGATTTTAGTCCCTGAACCCGTGAAAGCTGCAGTTAAGTGAGTTGCTTCAGAAGATCACAATTAAAAGTTTATTCGCATTGTACATAATCAACAGTCTTACACTCTAAATTATCTTGTTATTACAGTGGTACAGGAACTTTTTAAGAGACGTTAAAGGATTTGAAGCTGCATTATCTCATTACTTGTACACAATCTGTCAAGAAATCAATGTACTGTGTCCAATAAAGTGCCTGGCATATTCTTCCTGTCTACCCCAACAGGAAAACTTGCTTTAACATCCCTGAGCATACCCAAACCTCAACCTCCAATGCAACACAAACCCCTCATACTGCAGAGCCCCATCTCTAAAAACCCACAGGAGTGTATACCGGCCTTTAGGTTACCTCTTGGGCTTCACTGCCTACACAGACAACCTTGCCCCAGACAATTAGGGCACCCACAGCCTCTGACCACCTGCACAAGGAGCACAAGGGGAAGATGGACATGATGTCAGCCAATGGTCTGCAGAACAAAGTGAACGAAAGCAAAAACTCAACGCACAACAAAGGTGGAGGATGCATATAGAAGCCCAGCTGGAATGATGCAGGAAGCACGAGTGGCACAGCACAGAGGCTCAGCCACAGCACCCACCGCAGAACAGTGACATGAGGAAAGGACAAGTGAGATAGGGACACACAGCAGGCTAGGGCTGATGTGCAGCCAAGAGAACAAGAGGTGTGCAAATAAAGGCTTGGGCCAGCCTGCCACACCTGCACTCCATGTGTGCTGCCACAGCAGGAAAGGGCTGAACCTGAGCACCCCCATGCTCAGTGTCACCCCAACTGGGTACTGTCACCCATTCAGCTTAGGACACAGCCTGCAGGCTGGGCAGGGGCACCTGCAGCAGGTCCCCTGTGGCTGCCAGGCTGCAATGGAGTCAGGCCCTCACCCAGGTCTGGTGGAGGCTCTGGGAGCCACAGGCCAAGGAATCACCCCCCCATGCTCATCTGGCCCAGCAGTAATGCTTTAGAATGCCAGCACACTCTTTCCCAGGGGTGTGGGCATGAGAAAGTAGTGTTTCAGTTCCTCCCCAAGTTGGATAAACAGATTAAATCCATCTCAGAGGATTAGATATTCACACACACATGGAGAGTCTGAAAGACCAGAGGTAGTGCCAGGAACAGCAGGCAGTGTGAGGGGAAGGGTCTCACCTTCCACAGACTCCAGCCCCAGCTTCAGGTACTTCCACTTACCCCCCACCAGACTTCTTTGAAGAAACAATGTGCTGATATATTAAAAACTCTATTCAGAGGTGTTTACACTTAAGAAAATTCTCACACTTCCACCTTCTACTAGTACTTCCTCCAAAACTCCAGCCCTCAAGCCCATTAAAAAAAAAACCAACCCAAACCCCACTTAAAAAATACATTTTGAAATCCTACCAAAATCTGCTTTCTGTTATGTTAACCACTGGCTAGTCAACATCCTTCCCTGGCTTTAAAGAGAGAGGCTGCAAAGAAGTTGCCTTCAACTTGCTCAAACTACAGAGACTGTTACAGAGACACTCCTCTGTAAGACATGAGTTCCAGCTTGATATTTCACATTATTCCTGCATGTTAAACATTTTTTAAAAAAATATATTACTTAGACTTTAAGCAATGTGCCAAAAAAAAAAAAAAAAGACCAAAGCTTCTCCTTCATTAAGGTTTCAAAAATACAGTTCTATTAGTTCTACTATTAGTTCTACTCATCTTTGCTTTTGCTGAAACAGGTAAAGTTGCAGCTCACTTCACATGTCCTTGGCCAGTATTCTCTATCACACATTCAAATTCTACCTCATTAGTCAGGTGCATTATCTCCAGCAGAAGGTCCCTCCCATCTGAGCAAGCCTCGTGTTTAGACAAGAGAAGCTCCCACCAACACCCATCTCCTCTCACTCCCTTCTTGCTAATGGGGTAACAGATATTCACAATCCCTGTAGTCCCATAACTATGGCTATAAGATATAGGACTTCCTCCTATTTTGAAACAGTTCCAGCTCATCTCAGAAGGTTAAAAAAAAAAATCAACATTTTATTATATGCAGACGAATAAAAAGACTATGTATCAGCATAACAGGCAATGTATAACTCTTACAGTTCCGCTTGTGGAAGTTATGCAAAGCCTCCTGGTGTTAATCATCTGGAAGGCAAGAACACCCCAGCAGACTCTAAAGTGATAGCCCAGCTCCTGGCAGCCCCTCACTTGCAGGAGAATCAGGCATGAATTCCAGATACTTCTAACTGCTTTCACTTGTGTCAGCAGCTCTTGTGAACAGGTCCAATCCATCCACTAGAAGAGGACACACACCTTCCATCTCTGAACCGTGGTATAATACTTGAAGGCAGGCACATAAGTTTCAGTCTACATATGTGGAGAATAAAATGCAGCCAGGCAGAATAGAACTGTATGAAGGTCCCTCAGGCACGTTCTTGTTCAGTCTTCTTTTCTAGAGTTGCATCTGTGACACAGAAGTACTCAAGGCTGTGGGCCCAGAAGGGGACTACAGAAGCCTTCCAAATTTCAGACACACAAGACAGGGACACATCTACACATCCAGAGTCAGCTGAATGAAGCAAACATCTAAAAACAATTCCTTTGAATTTATCTAGGTTATCACATATACCCAATATCAAGATCACTGCAACTCAGCAGTCTCTGCAGATGCCTCACAGAGGCCAGAAAAGCACTCAGCTGCATTTCCAGTTCTCCTTCTCATCAGCACCTGAATGGGTATGTAGTGAATCCTGGCAGGGGGAGGAAAAAAAAAAAAATTAGAGATCTCTTGTATGCCCACTTCCCCTTCAGTTCTTACAGCAAGAAGAGGATCAAAGAGTCCCAACACATCCTTTCACCCACAGGGCCAGGTAGTGTTATACTATCCCAGCACTATAGCAGATATTTTACCACCAAGAGCTGCCCCACCACATTCCCTCTCTGCAGTTTCATCTCCTGCCACTACAAGTTTTAATTTGAATTGTCTTGCTTAGGAAGAAAAAGAGTAGCATCTCAGGAAAACATCTCTCATCCTGGCTGCACAATGCAGGCTTTGCTAGCAAAGTACTGTTCTTTACCTGGGTTAGAAGTTGATGATGATGTCTCAGCTGTCTGTAGAACTGCAACACAGAAGGGTCAGCTCTCACTGCTTTTGGATCAAAATCCAGAACACGGAGACCTGCAAGGCTACGGGCTCGGGAGAGGGCTACATAAGCCTGCCCACTTTCAAAGACACGAGACAGGGAGATTTCCACACAGTCTAAAGACATGCCCTATCAAAGACATGAGAAGTTTGTTAAAAAAAACAAACAAAAAAGAACACTGTGCTGTATCAACACTAACCTGTCCTGTGAGTCTTTCAAAGGTACCATCCTTGCTGTATGGACATGATTAAAAAAAAAAAAAAAAAAAAAAAATGTAACTCATTAAAAGACAGGAATCAGTAGAAAGAAAAGGACAGTTTTCCACCATCAGGAAATTGCTAGCAGACAGTAGGGTCCACTAACCAGTGAGCTGCTTGTTGTGTGAAAGTCCACAAATCCCATATAATCATCACAGCTGGAAAAGAAGTCCTGCTGTTGTCACTCCAAGTAATTCACTGGAGCAGCCACCAGTCTCTTAAGCAGTCCTCAGGCAGACCAGCTGAGGCAGAGTTTGGGTTAGGCCTGGCCAGCCCTGTCTGCACCAGGAGACACCCCAGGAGGCAGCAGAATTTACAACACGGCCTGGTTTAAGCAGTGGCATGGAAACAAACTCGCAGGTCTAATACCGAGACATGTATTTATCAAAGCGCATGAAATTTTCTGGAAAGGTATGAACTGTGTTAGTGACACTGAAAAAAAACCCCAACATATCCCACCAAAGGGGGAGTCTAACCCGAAGGGCACAGCTGTGACTCCTGCAGCTTCCTCAGGTACACTGCAAGCCTTAAGGTCACTAATACTGATGACCATCACAGAAACAGTACCCTGATCAGCCCACAGTGGTAAGTAATGCTGCTTTAGACTGTAACACCAGCTATGCAGATGGTAGGACACTTACGGAAACTCTAGTGGTATTTCTAGCCCATCCTTGACCCCATAGACAAGCGTCACAAGCAGAAGAGGCACTACCTTCTCTGCAGCTCAAGACACATATTCCAGAGGTCCCCCTCAACAAGAACCTTTTAGTTTTCCCTCCTGTTTTAACCAGCAATGCAAGGTCACCCAGGAAATAAGGCTTATGATAGTGTAAAAGTCTACAGACATCTGTATAAGAACACCCACTTGACTCTTGTGAATGGAAATGGCCCATGCCAATTTTAAAGGCAACTGTTGACGACTCAAATGAACTCCTGATGGTCCTTTGAAGACCCATTTCTCCATTTTGATGACCTGTGTGACCCCACAGAGAAACCTCACCTTAGGCAGCCCTGTAGGAATGGGAACAGGAGAGAAACAGATGTTTTCCTGACATTCAAGAGCCAGGAAGCCAACAGTCTAAAACCACAATTTTATTTTTCCCCCCCTCCTTCCCCATATCAGTCTTTCATGACTTTTAGGGCTGCATTAAAAAAAGAAAATCACACACACAAAAAAAACCCAAAACCTAAACCCACACACAGGAAATAGGATGTCCCCAAATGATGTTTGGAACCTACTTAAGCAGGAGGATTAAAGTCAGGTAATTTATCAGATGAGATGCAAAGAAAAATACATGTTGCAGGTAGTAGAACATTATTCTCTGAGAAAAACAAACAAAACCCCCTCCAAAACTTGCTTCAACAGAACAGACAGGAAATGGAAATGATTATACACATTTAGAGAATAAAGAAAAGCAAACACAAGAGGCCCTACAGATAGCTACAGCTGATGCAGCACATGACATCACAACTCATGAGAGCTCCAAGGATCTCACTGCAGAGGAGACCTCCCCCCTGCTTTTCTCAAATTATTCTTACCAAGCAGTAAGCAAAATGAACAAGTCATCAGCCATCAATGATAAATTGTTTGGGTTTTTTTTTTCCTCTTCCTTCAACAAAAGATCAAAAATCTTATTTACCTTTCTGTTCACTTTCAAATCCTACAACAACTCCTCGTGCCCCATTCACCAGCCCTTGAGACACATCCAAATTCTTAGCTAGCATCACCTACAGGAAAAAAAAAAAAAAAATTCCTTAGTGCACTGTCTTTACAGCCTGTTCAGCCACCTGTAGATAAGCTCATAACCAGGAAGCATAAGCACAGAACCACATCATTCTGTTGCAGGATAGAGCACCGTCTCCAAATTGACTGAAATCATTTCACAGCCTTCCATTCCTAGGATTCTTGACCACATCATTCTGCAGCACTGAACACTTCACTTGAGCTGCTTCTGTCCACAACTGTGAGCTCAGATCCAGGGAACAGATTCCCTTTCCCCAAACACCAACCAGCCTAGACATATATAGATTCTGGGAACACCTAAGGAGCAACTTCCCAAGACAAAACAGTGCTGCTGGTAAACACAATCCTGCATTCTTTCCACTCTGACAGCCCTAGCTCACAGCAAGGTGCCCAATCCTGCAAGTTTGGCAAGCTCTGTCATAACCTTACAGGTCAGGAGGGCTGCTGTACCCAGCTGAGACTGCAGGCAAGGACTGCTTGCGCTCTCAGCTACTTGGATGCTTCTAAACCTGATTGGAAATGTGTGTCAGTCTTAGCAGTCACCACTGTCCACAAAACATAAACCTGCACTCAAACCAGACTAATTCTCTGTCTGGATAAGATTCCAATCAGAAAGAATATAAAGATTTGGATAGAGTCTTCTGTTGGTCTGGCATAGGTGTTCTGTACAGAATCTGCTTTCTATACAATAATCTGCTATACCTTTATTTTACTGACGCCATTTGAGCCACTGGTCTTTCACAAATGTATGTACACACACTTACCTGAGCTCCAAGCTTTAGCTCAACTCTACCACCCACAGGACACTGAGCATCAATTAACTTCACTAGCATTGGGTCACTGTCCAAAGCCTCAAAAGTGTGCACTTCTCCTGTTAAAAACAGACATAACAAATTACAAACATTGAACATATTCTACAGTGTTGCAGGAGGCTCAGCATTTATTTCTACAACAATTTCTCTTTTAATATCCATTGTCACATCTAATAACCTTTTAATAACCTTGTCACATCTAATGGCAGAAAGCTCACTATTGCATCTCTTCCCAGCATAACTCTCAGAGCATGAGAAGACTCAGGAATCAAAGGGCAGCAGTAACTAAGAACTGAGTAGTCACCATTTTAAGCATATGACCAGTTTCACTTGCTGCCAACAATAGATCTCCAAAGAGGACTAGGGAAGAATCCTAGGGCCAGACAGGGATGCAGAAATGAAACAGCCCTTAATTCAAGTTGTGGCTGCATAGAGCAAGGCCTTTCTGAGATGCTATACAAAGAAGCAGAAGGGGTATGGAGGCAATAAGCGACCTACTCTACCTCAGAGCAAGCAATGAGCTCACTGTCTATTACACACCAAGAAGTAACAGTGTGAATTTTAAAGCAAAAAGCTGTGAAGTTTTTCCCTGGGCAACTCAACTCCAACACACAGAACTGGGACTGATGATGCTGTGCATGACAGACCAGTTCCTCCTGACATCGCAGTATCCCCATTGCAGCCACTCAGAACTCAGCCCCAAAGCTGGCAGTTTCCTCCAAGGAGGTCACCTGATAGCTGTTGCAAGCATCTCTCATTAGTTATTTCCACATCATCTTTATGGGTGCAGAGCCGTGTAGCCAGGATCCCATCACGCTCAGACCTGTTCGCAGCAGTCTGCATCAGCTGTCTGGTAACCTCCTCTGTGCACCTGGTAACCAGGAAAAAGGGATTATTATTTAAAGTGATCAGGAACAGGTCCTGAGCAGCAGTAACCTCCACCCAGCTGGATCAGGCTGTGCAAGCCCCAGACCCTGAGAGACAAGGATAGAGAAAGATAACTATAAGAGTTGGAGAGCAGTGCAAGTGTGTGTCCTAGCCCTGGCAGCTCAGGATCCATTAAATTTCTTCACAGAAGTTGCAGAGAGGGACCCTAGAAAGGCTCCTTCCTCATCAGAGCAGCAGCATACATAAAACCTGCTTACATTGACTCAAGCATTTATAGCTATTGCCCCCAGCCACACACTCCTGTCAGAGCAGAGAAGTGACAAACCACCCTTTTCTCTGCTCCATCGGTAGGGAGCAGAGATTACAAAGAAAGCCCAATTTCTCCTCACCTGCCTAAACGGACTGCACTCAGGAGTGAGACAAAGGTCTTGTCGGTCTGTCGCCGCACTTCTGTCAGCTCCATGTTTACGTGGATGCATTTCCTCCAGCTTTTTGCCTGGAAAATCATTCTATTGTTAAGAAAGAGGCAGACATGAAGTATAAGAATGAATTTAGGAACAGTTTTGTACCTGGAAGCAGAACTTAGTCTCTTCATTAGCCTTGCAGACTGGGGGTAGCTGCAAGAAGTCCCCACAGATAATTAGCTGAATTCCTCCAAAAGGCTCATCTCGTTTTCTGACTGCCCTGAAAGGGAGGGAAGAGAGAAGAAATTTTGCATGTCCTCCAGGACCTGGACATAGCCAGGTCTCAGAATTTCCTTCTTAGTCTATCACTATATTTAAGCATACACCACCTGCAGTAAAAGATGATTATCCTCAGCTGTGTCAGAAGAGCTCAAATAATTAAGCAGTGCTATTACGAGGCACTAAATTTACTTGGTTTACCCACTCCAGATGTCATTATCATTCTTGGTTCTTTGGTAAGTACCACAGCTGCTTCTCTCTGCAAGAGAGAACTGCTAGGCACAGCATAAATAGACAGCTGGATTGTGGACTCAGTTCTATAGACAGCACTTGGCTCCAAAGATAGAAATAGCAACCCGAGCAGCCACAGCTGGGAGGGGAACATGATCAAAACCTATCTGCCCAGATACTGGCTATGATTTCACGCTTCTGTCCAGTCCTGCACTGGTGGTTGCCTTGTATCCATGCACATAACCAGAGGAAGGAAATTTAGGGAAATTGATTTCTGTTCCTTGTTTGATCAGACGATCACTCACCTCGCCACTGCCTCCAGCCTGTCAAAGAACTTGCCGTCCACCATTGAGATCTCATCGATAATCAAGTGCTGGCAGGCCAGCCAGTGCTGGCGCACCCCAGGCCTCTCTGCCAGCTGAATACACTGTTCCAGCGGTGCCTTCCCAGAGCCGATCCCTGGCAGGAGGAGGAAGTAAAGCTTTGGGAAGCTCCAGACTCTGGGACGGGAGCAAGAGCTCCCAGCGCCTCCCTCTCAGCGGACCGTTACCTGCAAAGGCATGGAGAGTGGTGCCGCCGATGTGGCACGCCGCCACTCCCGTGCTGGCTGTGGCGTAGGTGCTCTTCGGAGGGAGGGAACCCACGACCTTCTTCAGCAGAAACGACTTCCCGGTCCCTTGGCGGAGGGAGAAGCAGCAGGTCAGCGGCGAGGCCCGAGGACCTTACCCGACGGCAGCCACGCCGGCCCCCTCACCCGCACAGCCAGTGAAGAAGATGCTCTTCCCGCTCCGCACGGCGTCCATCACCGCCTCCTGTTCCGCCGAGAGCCTCGCCGGGGGCCGCCTCTCCGCGCGGGGCTCCTGCGGGACGGCCGGTGGCGTGCTGTGAGGGCGGGGCGGGTAACCGGGGCCGGTAACCGGGGCCCCCTCGCCCCAGGACTCACCTCCGCCGGGGCCGGGCCGGGCAGGGCAGAGCTCCAGGGCCCCTGCACTGCTGTGGTGATTTGGGGTGTCGCCCGGCGGCCTTGGAGGAGCAGCCCACGGCGTGACCCGGGCATTGAGCCGGGCCGGCCGTGGGGCGGCGGTTCGGTGCGGCGGTGGGCAGAGCTGTGCTTCCTTCCCAGGACGGCCTGAAGCAGTGTTTGACCGACTTCAAGCAGCAGCTACCGTGGGTGGAAAGGCTGGATGTGACTTTGGGCCAGGTCATGGAACCCATCTCACAGAGTGCGCCTAACAAAGATGCTGTTGATCCCGAGAATGATTTCCAAAGAGAGATGAGCTTGTAAGTGGCAAAAAGAGAGATTTCTCGTAGGGTCCTGGTGTAGTGCTGCATGCTTGGAGTCGTGTTTCACAGGTGTGCTGCAGACTGCCACACTGGCCGTCAACGGCATCATGTCACTCTTGGGCAGTGATTTTTTACATTGATAACTCTGAATGTTTTTCAAAATAACCTCAAACTGTGCTGGTGTACTTAACTTCCCTTGCAACTGGAAATCATTTCCCTTCTTGCGGCAGATTTCCATTCCTTGCTGAACAGTTTTTTTGAAAGGCTCCTTGGTTGCAGCACTATGGCTTTGACACAGGATTTGGATTTTTCTTTGTGGATTTGTTTTGGTGTTATTACAGTTCTCTTGTTCTGCTCTGCCTTTCATAGTCCAACATATAAAACTGTAACTGGAAACCAGATAAATGTATATGTGCAAGATATAAGTGTTAATATTGTACTGGCACCTAAATTGCTTTTAGTAGCACTGAATGGTTTAGGGCACAGTGTGTTGATATAAGGGTAGATCAGTGCTTGTTAGATCCCAGTACCAGCTAGTTTATGTGAGCAGAGTTTCTGTCAGCGCTGGGAGATGCCCAACCCCCCGTGACAGAGCTGGTGCTGTGCTGTCGTCCTAGTTACCGGCAGGCTCAGGCAGCGGTCCTGGAAGCGCTACCTAGATTGCGGAAGCTCCAAGTTCCTACTAGAAGGCCAGATGATTACTTTGCAGAGATGGCCAAATCAGACCAGCAGATGCAGAAGGTATGTGCAGTGAATAATGGCTTTCTTTTCTGTGTTATGTGTTGATTTTAGCCTGTATTAGGGATTAACTTTAAGGTGTGATGTGTGAATACCTACCTTCATCTTCTTTGACAGATGTTTGTGAAAATGTTTATGTTTGAAATTTTGTTTGTGGCAGGAAATGTCTTCCTTTTTAGGTATTCCAGTGTAATATGGGGATTTCCATAATAGGTTGGAGCATAAAGTAGAAAAGCATGATTTATATTCTGTTCTGAATGTATTTAATATTAAAAATTGAGACTTAATTTCTGTATGTGTGACAGTGGTTGTGAAGTTGGCTGTATTTGTGCTCTTTGGCCTAAGACTTGCAGTCAGCTGTGGCGTTAATGTGATCCTTTTTTCCTATTTAAGTGTCACCCTTTGTTTATATTTGTGTGTGTTTTGGTTCTCTATGACTTTAAACCGTGTGTTATTGAATTAGTCTGTCACAGGTAGTGTAGGAAATAAGAATTTAATGAACTTACTTCTTGATTGTGGTCGTGGTTCAGAATGGAACCCTAAGGTTTTTTTTGTTTTGGAAAAAGACTACATTGTATAAGTTAAACAAACTTGAGCTGGTTTCTAATTTGGAGGTTCATGTGTGACTTGGTCACTGTTTTGATGGTTTATAGAATCTTCCTAGAGAAAAATGAAGATTAATAATTAACTTGTGCCAAGGCTTAAGTCAGTTCTGCACATTATTATTACCTTCTTTTTTCAGGCTTCTGTTTGAAGAACAGGGTTTTTATCTCTTGGTGGAGTCACAGACTGAATCCAGAAGATCTGTGTTGAAATCTTTGTAATCCCGTGTAATGCAGCATCCTTATATAAACATTTGTGAACAAGGATGGAACGAAAACGATGTTTTCTATAGCATGGAAGGGCTGTTGACTCTTTTAATAATGACAAGAAAGAAGCTGTTAAGTCTTTGACATACACCTGAGTAGACTGACAAGATGTGACAAGATACTCATGTTTAGCAGTTCCATTAGAGCTCATGATAAGGCTTTGTCTTGTCTCTATGTGAGTTTTGTCTTTTTAACCATATTGTGGCTACAGATCAGTTCAGTAATAACTGTTCTAGTCTTGAGTTGAAAAAACATTCTGCCTTACAAAGCGTTACCTGATTGATATTTTTGTTTTTACACTCATTAATAGTTCAAATAATTATTCATTTCAGGACTGTACAGCAATCAAAAAATTCTCTTACTTTTGCATTACTGATAAATTTTGTCTTTTCTATACCCTAATAAGATTCGACAGAAGCTTAAGAGTAAACAGGAAGCGATGGAGAGGTCTGAGAAAGCGAAACAGCTCCGTGCAATGAGAAAATATGGCAAGAAGGTGAGGAGGAGTTACAAACGGGACCTATCTATGACAAGAATCTAGAGCCTGAGTGAGGAGCTTAGAAAGTGAGCTCACAGGAGGCTGGCTAAAATATATAGAATCTGTCTGGTCTTCTGTCTAGCTGCTTTGAAGGAAGACAGAGCAAAAGATGGAATACCTTTAAAAGTATGGGACATTAGAAGTAGCAACACTAACATTCTGCTTCTAATCTCAGGTGCAAACTGAGATTCTACAGAGGAGACAAAAGGAGAAAAAAAATATGTTGAATGCAGTCAAGAAATACCAGAAAGGTAAAGTTTAACTTGTCTAAGAGAGCAAATGTGTAATGGGAATAGTGATGTGTGAGCAATGTAAGGCAGTATGATGTGTGGTGTCAATCTGTAGTGCTGGGCAGTGAGCTTGAAAGGCTGCTGCTGTGCAGAATCACATGCCAGTGGCAGCGAAAATCCTCTCAAGTAGCTGTTCTTCAGGGAGGGTGATTTGTTGCACTTACTTGCTTAGACTGAAAATTCATATTTTCTGTGGTGGTAGCTGAGCAACTGTTATGTTTTCACTCTTGCAGGTCTCTCTGACAAGCTGGATTTTCTAGATGAAGAGCAGACATCATCTCAGGGGCATAAAAAAGGCGGTGCAAGTCAACAGATAAAGAAGGGGTGAGACCAGAAAATAAATAGATTTAAATGCAGAATCTCTGAGTATTTCAGTCTTCTAGTGGATCATTTTGAGGCACAAGAAAGCTGCTCTGATTAATGTTCATTAATTAATGAACAATTAAGTCTGAGGTGTATTTCTGTCCCTAGAGAGGAGGAAATTTGTGTCCAGAATGGAACAGAGACCAAAATGTTCTAATTTCTGTCTCCTCAGTAAGAGGGAAAGGTTTTAGGATAGCTGATGGGAGTCCATCGGCAGATACATGTGCCTTCTTGAGAGCTTTCTGAGGAAAAGAATATAGGTGGTGATGCTGTTTGTTTTTCAGACCAAATGCCAAAAGACGATACAAGAATCAGAAGTTTGGTTTTGGTGGGAAGAAGAAGGGCTCAAAGTGGAACACAAAGGAGAGTTTTAATGATGTATCGAGCTTTCGGTCAAAAGTGGCTCACAACAAAGGCCCAGGAAAAGCAGGAAGAGGAGGGAAAAAAGCCCTCAATGTAAGTTCAGTGTTGTATGCAAATTCTCCTGGTTGGCTGGGAAGCCAGCCCTGGTCTGGGAGGGAGAGCTGAGTACAGGACGGGTGGCTCCAGCGTCTGGAAGTGCCAATGTCTGTCTTTGGGATTTGAACATAATTCATTTGCAGAGTTGAGGACAGTGGTTTGGTGTCTGAGCAGGGGAATGAGTGGGGGAGTTAGCAAGTACTGTTTGTTGCTACCTTCTCCAGAGGTGCTGGCAAATATGTTCTCCTTGGTATCCTCCCCAAGCTATAGAGCTAGAATAAAGATTGAGGACACGTAACTACAGATCTGAATCTGTCCTTTCTTTTGCAGAAGAGACCTGGAAAGAGAGCAAGGCAGAAAATGAAAAGCCGAGCGCGATAAGAGGACTGTGCTCCCCTGTGGAGTTCCTGTGTTTCTGTGTGTTGCAAGATGTGTTTGTGCTGTCATCAAGCAGCTAATGGTGGAGCAAGCTGGACGCTTCCAAGTGGCAAGAAAAAAAATTCAGTGGAGACTAGTGTCTTATCACTAATTTCTTCTTACTGTCAGTTTTGTTGAAGGATTGTTTTCTACTTAAACCTTTGGTGTGTAAGTGCATTAAATGGTTTGCACAGAACAATGTCTGATTCATGTTTAGCTGCGTTATGAGTGGTGGCCAAAGCCTGCCCTTTGTTCCCTTTGCTCTGACAGCTTTCTCCACAGCTACTGTTGACATGTACTTGGTGAACTTGAGTTCTGAGTCGTGTTGCCAATGTCAAAATAAGAAGTCTGAAGCCTGTCAAGATGTTAAAGTGTTTTTTAGACTATTTATATAGATGGGTTTATATAGCAGTGAGACAAATGCAGCAATCTTATAAATAGGTTTATTTCTGTAACTATTGTCAGGCTGTAAATCTGGACAGACTGAGGTTCTCTTTTCCCTTTTCTCACTACATTTTCTTGTTGGAAATCTACCACTCTCCTAATAACAAGCAAGGCCTAACACATGAGATGTCATCAACTGCTTCTATCTAAGTTGTGTGGCTTTGCCGCTCTCCTACTGCAGGTTATCTGACTTCTCCCCGTGTCCCATGGCAGCTGTTTATTTAGTGATCTCTGTCTTCCGGCGTGGGAAGTAGAGTCTGCAATCAGTACGGTCCATCTGAATCTGGGAAAGAAAAATAATGAACACTCATGAGCTTTTACTAGAATTAGCAGTAGTAATCCTTCCTAAGAGTGACGTACAGTGTTCTTGCTGCTGAGAAATGCCCAAGTGACAAGTGAGAGAATATACTGTTCACTGATTCATTATGGTAGAACCTGGTGAAAAAGGAAAACTTAACATATGAAATAGCATTGTGAGTCCTGACTATAAATGTAACTCCTCTCCCTACACACAAATTTAGTTGCCTCTTTCCTGCCAGTCTAATCTACCACTAGTATCCAACAGTGTAAATCGTTGCTGGGATGTCTGTCTCTGTCTAGTCTTGTCATGAGTAACAAGTTTACCTGAAGTGTAATATGAAAAGTTGCAAAAGACTATCTTATTTATCTTAGTTTCCTTTGTAACAGGCCAAAATTAATCAGGCCCTCATTTGCCTTTCTCAAAACTAATCTAAAAAGTCAGTCATCGTCACAGCTACTCATTTGTCAGATATGAATGATTGATGTCTTGGCTTGTTAATAAGACTTCTTTTCCTCCTGTTTATTCATGCTTCACCAAATGAATCCTCACTGATGTATTCTGCCTTGGATATAATTAGCTGATTATTAATTTCATGGTTCTGCTTACAATTTGTTTGAAAAATACTGTACAGCAGCACATTTTTTTTCACAGTACTTTTGTATGTCACTTCACATTGCTCGCTACACCATTTCTCATGGCTGAATGCTTTAATAAACAGCCATGATTACATATGTGGCATTTGGCAATATGCTTGGAGTTGACTGTCACTGTAGATATTTTGTATGCAAGTTTCTCAGGGAAAGTCTACTGTTTCTGTGTGCAGGCCTGTGTCAGTGTGAAGAGTCCTCTTAGGTGTAAATTTTAAAAATTTGTTATCCATGAACAGCTCTGCTCATTCCTAGTCATTCCTGTTTTCTGTTTGTCACAATTTATTTTCTTGCATGAATATCTTTCAGGGTGACGTGCTGCACCTCTCTGAATCCTGCAAAGAGCCAAGTCCTTAAGCACCCTACTCACCAAAGGTGTTGTGTTCCAGCCAATTTCCTGACTTTCAGTTTGTGGCTCTGAGTATTTCTTTGTTGGCTCCAGTGCTGCGTGGTGAATAAGATTCAGAAACTTGGCTGTTGGTTTGAGACACAAATACAAATGAAAGGAAGCAGATTTAAAAACCAGTCACCTGTGGTTGTGTGTTAGAATGGGACATCCTAACGCTGTGTAAGCAATAGCAAGAAAGCCGAGGTTGAAGGCAACCTCTGCTTCTGTGAATGATCTCGTAAAACAATCCAGGGTGGCATTTTTCCTCAATTTTATCATAAGGAAGGTTCAAGATTTGCCTGCCTATATTGTCCTGATAATTCTGTCATCCCTGTGTACCGTATTGTAGCATCTTAATACCACATCTAGTATCCACCAGTGCTCCATGTTAGCTCTCCTCTTACTCAGTTGCCTGAGATCTTCTGCCTTTCCCTGTCTTGGGTTTTCTTTCACCCCGATCCTTGACTAGAACAGGCCAACCTTAACAGACTGTTAAGTTTTTTAGGCAAAATGGGCATGTTAGAAATAAGGGAGCAGCTGCTAGCAGTTCCTGTAACTAGTGCTGTAAAGCAACACTCAGCAGCCATTTCAGCAGCTTATCATATGTGGTGGTTGATTAGAATCTGCAATGGCTGGCAACATGCATGTATAAAACATGTTTCTAGATTATTTTGTTTTTTCCTGAAAGAGGTTTAGATTCTCAAGCAGAATTTTATGGTAGATATGAGAACTAAAAAAAATAAAAACCAAACCCATAATTGCATGAATGCAAGCTTGTATTGATAATGAAAAGTAATGGGAAATGGCCTTAAAGTGGAAAAAAAACCCTGCAAAACCCATGAATGAGTTTAACTTTCTTACATCGTTACAGGGGTGTTTCCAGATGTGTCATCTTTTAGACTAATTGGAATTTTAAAATCTTATTTATCAGTCTTCTGTTGTAATTATCACAAGCTGTTCAGAGATTTCTTACCATCTGCTGGCTCTTCTATATTATCATGCCAAGACATGGGCTTCTTGGTGATCGTGTGAACTGGAAAGAAATGATGCAGGTGAATTGCTTTAATGTTAATTTAGCATCACAGCCAGGTATAGGATATCTATCGTTGCAGATGTTTTTGATTATTCCCCAGTCTGGGCCCAGCTACTTCAGTGAAGTTCAGCATGTTCAGCATGTGAACAGTACAAAATGAGTTTAGATAGCAACTTCCCAGAAAGGGAAAGAGGGTTAAACATTTTAAAGGCCCTTCTACTGAATGCTGCCTGCATTCGCACAGCAAAGTTCCACCCCACCCATGTGATGGCCTAAAGAGTGCCAAGTTTCAGGAAATTACTTTCTTTGAGTTTGTTTTTGTTTTATTGTAAAAGCTAGGCCTGAGTGAATCTATTCACATCAGCTGTCTGTTCCAGCACAGATTATGATATTCTGTGACTGTGATTTGGCAGGTAGAAATCAGCCTGAGGGCTGAAGAATCACAGTGTAGTGTTGGGGCTCTCTACCCTATCTTAGCTCTGTGTTGTTCACTCAGGATCTATGGGTTCCGGAGCCTAGTCACCTCCTGTCTACATGTTCCCTAAGGCACCATCTAATCTGGGCAAATTGGTCACTGTTCTGTCTTTGAGGGTGCAGACTGGTTCCTTAAGCAAAAGAAAAGCCCAGAGGTTGCTCCTTCCAGATCTACCTCTAGATCTGGAAGAATCACAGTGTAGTGTTGGGGCTCTCTACCCTATCTTAGCTCTGTGTTGTTCACTCAGGATCTATGGGTTCCAGAGCCTAGTCACCTCCTGTCTACATGTTCTAAGGCGCCATCTAATCTGGGCAAATTGGTCACTGTTCTGTCTTTGAGGGTGCAGACTGGTTCCTTAAGCAAAAGAAAAGCCCAGAGGTTGCTCCTTCCAGATCTACCCCTAGATCTGGAAGAATCACAGTGTAGTGTTGGGGCTCTCTACCCTATCTTAGCTCTGTGTTGTTCACTCAGGATCTATGGGTTCCAGAGCCTAGTCACCTCCTGTCTACATGTTCTAGGCGCCATCTAATCTGGGCAAATTGGTCACTGTTCTGTCTTTGAGGGTGCAGACTGGTTCCTTAAGCAAAAGAAAAGCCCAGAGGTTGCTCCTTCCAGATCTACCCCTCTTGCTGGCCGCTGCTGGCGTTCTTGGGTGCAGCTGCTGGTCTCTGACGCAGCCCCCGAGCCCTCCCTCAGCCCCGCGGCTCGGTCCAAGCCTGTCTTGCCCTCGGGCCTTCACGCCCGTTCTCTGTGACCGTGGGGCCGCCCGCGCGCCGCCTCACCGCGGTGGAGCGGGTTCACGTTGTACTGCGTGTGCAGCCTCTGGCACTGCCGCTCCTTCCGCACCCGCTCGCACAGGAGCTGGTTCTGCCGCACCGGGTCCAGCGGTTCCCTCTCCCCGCCGCGGGCGGCCATGGCCCCGCCGGGCTACGCGGCGTCCCGTAGCATGGCAACGCCTCACGTGGTCCCCCACGAGGCCGCTGGTTGGCCCGGCTGGTGCCCCGCCCCTCTCTCCCGTCCTTCCCGTCTCCTATTGGCCGCCGCGTTAAAGCTCCCGGCGCTGATTGGCGGCGGCTGCGGGCGGCGGGTTTGAACGGCCGGTGGGG